GCTTGATTTTTTCCAGTTTTCCTGCATGATTTAGCCCCGTGGCTAGTCGCTTTGCATTTCAAACAGATGTGAGTAAATATGCAACTGGACCCGTATTGGCACACGCCTTCATTAAAGTTGTTACAAACTTCAGCTCCATTGACCTTAACTTTGGGGCGTCCAAGTCTATCTGTTTCCTTGTCCCCTTTTGTGTTCTTAGCATAGGGTGATGAATAACTGTTGTTGTGCTGGCCATGGCTGTACTTCTCCCTCTGTCGTGGGCAGAAATGAGTAGAGTGGGAAGTTAATCCACACAATTGACAAGTGTTAACTCTAGTGTTGCCTACAACCATACTTAGGAGACCTTGGTCCTTCAGTTCCCAACGAACTTTTTGGTTGTTGTCTCTGAGGGCGGCAGCTGCCTTCATGGCAAACTGGCAATGATAGTCGTAGAAACGTTGCCCATAGACGTTGGAAATCTCTATGATATTGGCTTCATACATGTCGAGCTCGTTTCGGCGCTCGGGAAACTTTGTACACATAACCCTTTTGAACTTCCCGAAAGCTGTTATGAATTCAGATATTGTCAGGGATTTATGCAGACGAGGATCCTCGGATTCCTTGAAAAGATTAATGTTCACACCTTTCTGCCGGTCCTCAGGACGGTCTGTCTCGTATTTAATGATGAGTAGTGCGGCCAGATTCACGTATTTCCCTTCTAAAATTTTCTTTTTGTAACTGTCCGACACGATGTCAATGTGGGGGATACTCTCAGATGATATCCCCTCTGAATTGATAGAAAAGCACCCACCTGTAGCGACGTGATTCGTTCGGTCCTGCCTCAGGGACTCGTACGCCGTCGTCAGGGTGTATTCCTGGTTTGTGGGTGGGCTAGGCGTGTCCGCTGTATGTCCGTCTTTGCCACTTATCAGCGTAAGGACGGTCTGTTGAAGTCCAAGCATGGTCTGTTGCATCGTTTGCATGGATGCCAGCATTCCCTCGATGACACTGGGCGCCGCCATGTTGGACTGATTCTGCGGGACTTCCATCGGATTACTACGCGCTTGATGTAAGGCCAAATCACTACCATCTCTACGCGGCGTAGACAAAACCTCCGCGTCCCGAAGTAATTTTTCGTAATTCCTGTTTGCGTTTGCAACACGAAGTTCGTCTGTGCCATTTTGATCCGGAATGTCGCTCACGCTTGTATCATTCACGACAGAAACACCTCTCGTCGAATTTTCCCAGTACAGAGTTTTCAAACCCGTTTTCGTAATTCCAGCTGAAGGAGGGGTTATCCCTATCTTAATTAGTTCGTCTCGTAGTTGAGAAGTTGTCCAATTGGCTGGATTGGAAGAATCCCATGGCACATTCCTAGATTTTGATCTTGGCCTACGACTCGCCATTGTTCGAAAGTTTGCAAATGTTAAAATCCCATCCTCATCTTCTCACGTCTGCATCGTTAAGCCTGGTGTCTGAAAACACTGTTTGAAACGTCAAGCACTTCTTCGATCACTTATACATAAGTATGACGGTAGTTATGCGTATCCGTGTATATTGTAGTGCAAAAATTAAACCCGAAAAATAAAACTTATGAGATTGGTCATTTAGCTCCGGACGCTGGGGAAAAAGTGACCAGCAAGCTATCAAGAATCCTCTAAGCCAATCAGACAGCGATAAGCTAACACGTGACCGGTCACTCTCTTCATATACCGCTCAGGCCCTGGTTATGTAATATATATACCTGCTGCTTTATTTTTGTTAGTTTGAACAATTCTACTCTGTTTCATTGTACAACTATACACACATTCTCACAAACACACCCACAATAACGTACAAACACATCTCCTCCCATCATCAACCATAACAAACTTTTTGGACACAGTTCGGCTCAGGTAGGATCGAAAATTCACTCGAACCAACTCATAGAAAACACCCCCTACTTTTGACATACAACCAATCAAAACCGAGCTTACAAAAGCGAACAGGTCCTCTATCACGGCTTATTCAAACATATATAGCGGAACAGAATCTAGCTCAGGTAGGATCGAAATATTTACAACAACCACTCGAACCCGATAGCTCCCTGATGACACCCCCTTCACAATAAAATAAATTCCAATCCAATACCCATTAGAACCTGGTTTTTTTGGGTTTTTGGGGTTTTTTTCCTTCCAAACAACCCCTATTCGACCATTGAGCCACCAAATACATCTAATTATAACAACATAACCCCTCCCCCTCTTCAACTGACGATCTAATAACTAAATAAGCACTAATAAAACTCTAAATAAAAACCCAATGCACAAACCAGACAAACCCCCGCCCCGCTCTCAACACCCCATATCTGCACAACCTCAACTCTCCTCTACCTACTGATAACTCTCACCAATGCACAACTCGTCACACCTACCTATTCCGTCTCATCACCAACAACTATCTTATACTAATACTCACCAAATAATTATAAAAGTCAGAAAAGTGAACAGTTACAGAAGAAAGCTAAAGGAAAGTTGTATAAGAAAGAGAACATTGATACAGAAGAAAAGTTTTTTTATCAAGTGCAAGACTGGAAACGGATACAAGAATGGACGCCAAAAACAAGATTAACTACCACCTGCATGATACTAACCACTCACCAACAACACACAGTCCGGCGGAGGGGACTATAAACGGTGTCCCGTGTAGGAGGGTCCAACCTGCACGTAAAAAATCCCTCTGTGTATTGTCGAAAGAGTAGGCGCGTTAACGCCGACACAGAGGATAGGGATAGATTAGATTACACTTATTATCGATGATTCGACGGACTTCCAAAATATAGGAACAAAATAAAAAAAAAAAACCAAAATAGAGTAGGATATAAAAAACGGACAGCTTGGATACGATACGCCCTCCTCCTAGACCAATGCCATGATATGATACGACCGGTGATCTCCCCATCCCTTTTTTTATATATAAGAAAAATTCCAATAAAACAAATATAGTATAAGCCCAACAACTTAAAGACCCCCCATAAGACCAAATACTAATAACCTTTTTTTATTTTATTTTTTTATTTATTTTTTAAATAAGACATACACCAGAGAATAAAGGGTAAATATCTGCATACACCATAGGGACCCCTCGGATAATCTCAAACTCCGGCCAAATCTGACAAGGAAACAAAGTACTGTACCTAACGGAAGCAGAGACGTTTCCCTACTGTCGGGCTCAACCGGCAGTAAGAGACCCGAGGTACATAACAAATATAATATATATACCTCCCTATAAGAACAGGAATATATGCAATAAATACACTTTACAAATAGACAAATTTTTTTTTTCTTTTTTAAGTACATATATACACTAATATAAGCCACATTGGCCAATTTCGAGTCCCCTCAACGACACAAAAACATTATTAAGGAGCAACAATCACAGATACAACATCCAGCAAGACACACCATTTCGGACCAAGGAGTCGTCTCCAAATTACACCACAAGATAAGGATAGGATAGAATAGACGACTCCAAACCACCCCCCGAGGGAAGGCAACTTCCCTCACGCCGACCGAACACTGACTTCCGTCAGTGAGATGAAACCCGTAAGGGCGGATTCATGTAGGCGCGAAACCCGTCATCCATCCATGGTTATGTATACGGTCGATGTTCCTATATGAAAAACCTACAGATCATGATTGTCACTGACAATCATATATATACACAATGTTTAGGTTAATGTTGCAGACTAGTCCATCGAGGCTTGACTAGTATTAATAGAAACAGTATTTGTCCATTTAAACCTGGCTTATGTACATAAGCCTCAATTAATGTCTTGTGTGTCCTGTCAATGAGGGATAGTAGATTGTATTTGGAGTGTCATTCCATCAATTTACAGAAAATAAGGCTGACTGATCAATCCCTACTGATCAATGCTTATTGGGCACGTCTTTAGAATATTAATGTTAGCTAATTGTTGTAAGATTAATATCTTTTTCACACTTTACAGATAATTGAAATAAATAGGCTTTCATTTTTGGTATAAAGTACTAGATCTTGTCACATTCTATCTTCTACATGATCACCAGGGGTGACATGTATTTCTTCCTACAGTATCTGGTGTTTATGTCCGACTCTTCAGGGATGTTGAAGAGACTGGGATGAATGTGATGTCTCCATGGCAATAAGAACTTTATGTTTCAGTATTGTTATTGTGTTCATGAAATTGTGACGTCTGTAATCCTAAACCCTGATCGTACAAACAAATCAGACCATCAGAATCTACCCCACAGTTTGTAATCATCAGAATCTACCCCACAGTTTATAATCATCACAATCTACGTAATACCCCACAGTTTGTAATTATCACAATCTACATAATACCCCACAGTTTATAATCATCATAATCTACGTAATACCCCACAGTTTGTAATCATCACAATCTACGTAATACCCCACAGTTTGTAATCATCACAATCTGCGTATAAGTAATACCCAACAGTTTGTAATCATCAGAATCTACGTAATACCCCACAGTTTGTAATCATCAGAATCTACGTAATACCCCACAGTTTGTAATCATCAGAATCTATGTAATAAAAAGGCCCAGGGTACTGAAATTGGGCCTGTAGCATGCTGGGATAAGGGCTACCAAGTTTGTTCAAATGAATGACCTTGACCCATTTTCAAAGTCACAGGGGTCAAATGTCGTAAAATCTTCAAACCACTTCTCAATGACTAAAAGGCCCAGGGTACTGATATTAGGCCTGTAGCATGCTGGGATGAAGGACTTCCAAGTTTGTTCAAATGAATGACCTTGACCCACTTTCAACCTAATGTCCTTGTTTGACATTCAAGGCCACAGGCGTCATGTTTTAATCTTTTAATAGGTTCTTATGAATCAAATACTGATATTCTGCCTGTAGCTATATTTTAGTCCACTTTTAAGATTACAAGTGTGAGATTCATACCAGGTGAGCGATGCAGGCCCACTGGGCCTCTTATTATTTGTAATGATTTATTTTGTGCTGTTTGTATTGCAGGGTGTGTCCTTTGCTATCTACAGCCATTCATCGCGAGCTTTGACAGAAGACAAAGAGAAAAATGCAACACCACTTGATGACCTGAGTGCCTCAAGCTCTGAAAGAAAATTTTGAAAAAAGGCTCAGTTGCTAAATAGCTTTTTTGCCAAGCTGTGACATACACATAGGAGAAAATGGCCACATCATCGAATGACTAGTGTTTCAAGTTCTGATAAAAGTCAATGGGAAAAAATGTCACAATGCTTAACAACTAGAGTTCAAAGATCGGTGACAGAAGACATTGAAGGAAAATGAAGCTACAGTACTGACTGACAACTGTCCAAAGCACTAAAGGAATATGTCGAGAAAAAGATGACATCACTGAATGATAAATGCCAAAAGCTAAAGACATTATTAAGTGATCTGGTCCGTATTCTTAAAACCGCTCTTATTCTCTGGCATGAATTCTGTGCCCAAGCCTAATTTCTTGTTACCTTTTTGAATTCATAAAAAAAAATGTTATTTTGTCAATGATTTGGATAAAATTTGAATTTTAAGAGACTTAAAGCCGAACGCTGTTTTCAATGTTTACTTTTGACTTTTTGAAGTAAATGAGGGCAAATTTATCATGTGGGGGGGGGGGGGGGGAAGAGTTTCCCTGTATACAGTAGTTTGAATGGGCCAGAGGGAGAGTGCTTGTATAGGCTATGCCTGTTTCCCAATTTTGATTGCAGTTAAGATATGTTTAATAAAAATATTTTGAAATGAACAGAATGACCCATACCATATTTCCTAGATACTTTAGAAACAAATACTAAAATCTGACAGCAAAGTTGAGAAGGTGTAGAATACCATTGTTCAGCCTGTTTAATAAGAAAGTTTTCTGTTATCCACTTTGAAGGTCACAGTACATACTCGCAGACTTTTGAAATTTCTGTGGGGGATTACATGTGCTCAGAATTAAAAGCATAGATAAATTGTGTTTAATTATGTACACCCTATTCATTTGAACTGTTCTTTCTGATGAAATCATCAGATCTTATAAAATAGGAATGGTTTAGCAAATTCACTGGTTGAAAATGTTCAAATTCATGGTCCAAAATCGGGAGTCTCCCTCCCAATTAAGGAGAGTTTGTAAGTATGCAGATGTGATATCTTTCTGGTAACGACACTGAATAACCTGTGAGTATAGTTAGGGCCTTTAGAGCTACTTGTTTTAATTTTGTCCCTAAATCATCTGTTTACATTAATATCCTGGAAAACTAAAAATGAGATGTTTGTATTCCTAAATAAAAACAATATTTTGACCTTTCTTGTACTGTAATTAAATGAAAACATGAGGAAAAGTTCATTAGTGTTTCCATTAAACAAACAGAAAGTGTATGCAGATGTGATATCTTTCTGGTAACGACATTGAATAACCTGTGAGTATAGTAAGGGCCTTTAGAGCTACTTGTTTTAATTTTGTCCCTAAAACATCCTAAAACATCTGTTTACATTAAATAATATCCTGGAAAACTAAAAATGAGATGTTTGTATTCCTAAATAAAAACAATATTTTGACCTTTCTTGTACTGTAATTAAATGAAAACATGAGGAAAAGTTCATTAGTGTTTCCATTAAACAAACAGAAAGTGTTGCCTGTAGGGATATTCTAATTTTCGGCTGTTGCCAATGGCAACAGACAACATGCAAAGTAGATTGGGTTGTTTTTAAAAAAAATGTGGGATATATAAAACTTCATATGCCGTTCAACACTTCTTGAAAATAATGCAAATGAATGCTTTTATAAAACCAATAAAATATGTAGAAACAAATAGAACCTCTGGCATATTCATATTTAAAATTAAAAAATTGGAACTAAGAACTTGATAAGAGGTATTCGATATATATGATGACAAGAGCTGAATAAGATATATAGGATCTAACATGAGTTCCATTTCATATGTGATTTATGAAACGAGTCTAAGAATTTTAAGGCGAGCTAAAATGAAAAATTTGTGACGAGTTTCATTAATTTCATATGAAATGAAAACGAGTGTAAGATCCTTTTTATCACATGCTCAAGATTTGTGGCATTTATTCATGTAAAACGACAATTTTCATGCAACCTTGAAACGTAAAAAGCCGCCATTTTGACTCCAGTGGGTAAGTCTGTGACGTCATGTACTTGTTCTAGGCGTGATGTGACAATTGAAACTTATAACCAATCACAGGGCTGATAAGTCATAACATGGGTTAATACGCAAACAAATATGACATGGGTATATTCACTGGATAACACAGAACATTATGTGATAAAAAAAACTTAAAAGATGTATATTTAACGAGGTGCAGGTTGATATACACATTGTTTAAGGCCTATGAGTGTCTAAGTAATTGATTACTACAATGATACAAAAATATTAATGGAATCAAGAAACTGGTTTTAAATGATCAAATTTTCAAAGAATCTGGGTAAGTTGGAGAATGACCTTGTTGCCCCCCTCATAACTGTGGGATTTCTTCCCCAACCATAATATGTAATCCTGTTTACTCAATTTCAGTGATATTGGGCATGAATATTTACACATGTGGGGGATTTTTTTATAAATTATGTTTAAAATTTAATGCTGGTTTTGTTAATTTGTGTTACTTTTTCCAGTACAGGAGTTATTGACGATGTTATATACACATTGTCAAATGAAGATCTAGCTTAGCAATTCCCTGGGTACCTACGAGTCCAACTGGTCAGACAAATACTACGTACTGTAATCACAATTCTAAATGTCTCAACTAGCAAGTTTCTGTTTACATTTAAAACAAAATGTCTGAACAAGATGTGACCTAATAGGACTCATCTGTACACAAAAACCAAAGTGTCTGAGCAAGATGTGTCCAAACAAGATTCAAATATACACAAAAACCATAGTGACTGAGCAAGATGTGTCCAAACAAGATTCAAATATACACAAAAACCAAAGTGTCTGAGCAAGATGTGTCCACACATAATTCAAATATACACAAAAACCAAAGAGACCTAACTAAAAAGGTTTCATTGCTGTGTTCCACTGTAAACAGACCAAATTGTCTCATCTAACAGTGCACTACTTTGCGCACAGACCAAATTTCCTAATTTAACAAAATTCTTATGTACGCACAGACCAAAGTGCATATCTAACACAAAACACAATATGTCAAATCTATTGTGGTTTTACTGAGCACACAGACCACATTTTCTAATTTTCAACATTCTGTAAGGGAACTGGCCGGCGGCCACAAGGAAGCTCAATTGGTATAATGTCCGTCTAGAGTTCAGACAGGTGGGTGGGGGGGTGNCGGAACAATATTCACCCGTTGAATGCCATATACATGCAGTGTATACTTTCTAACATTGAAATAAGATCTCTCTGCATCATTCTAAGAGTGGTTAGCTGACATGCTATACAAATCTCCGGACAAAAAATCTAATACTGAAATGAACAAAGGGCAATAACTTTTACAACAATCGTTGAATCAAAATTCTTTCAAGGGAGACACAATTTCATATCATGAGTATAATGTATAACAAGTTTCAAAGAGATCCGTTGAAAATGTAGGAGGAGATTGCCGGACAAAAATCTAATACTGAAATGAACAAAGGGCAATAACCTTTGGCAAAAATTGTCGAATCAAAATTCTTTTAAGGGAGACACAACTTCATATTATGATTATAATGTATACCAAGTTTCAAGGAGATCAGTCGAAATATAAAGGAGGAGATTGCCGGACAAACAAAAGTTTACGCCGGATGGACGAACGGACAACCCCATACCATAATACTTCCGTCAAATTTCAAGGGCGTATAAATGGATGATGTCGCTCAATTGATAGAGCATGTGTTTAGAGTTCGGAGGGGTTCAGGTTCAAATCTCTATTGTACACACGGACTCAATTGTCTGATATTGGTATATTGGTATATTGGATGGTTTAGACAAGATGAAGCCAATTCTGTACAGTCATATTTCACTCACTGAGACAGATGCTTATCTGCACTGTACAAATAAATGTTCTTTTAGCTGGTCACAGCTTAACGGATTGACTGGTTCTTGTGAAAAATGACTAGGATGTACCTTTGCTAACCCGACACCCATATTTTATATGGACCTAGTAGCCTTCCTGGTGTCAGTGTGTGGTGTTATTTAAAATCAATGGAGCAGCTTGTCATGCATCACGAGAGATCAGTGGTACATAATATCCGCTGTAGCGGTATGAAGTTATGTTATTGCTCGTTACAAGATGGTTAGTAGGTGTTATGCGTTTCTGTTTGTGCTTTTAACTTCCATAGATACCGTCTTAATTTCAAACCCATTTAACAGCAGTTTTACTCCAGATAGATAATATTTTCCGACGGTCTTCTGATTTGTAAGCAGGCTAAGCAAATTAGTAAATATGTCCCCTATCTTTGCGATACCATGTTTCCCATTTCTGTATACTGTAATTTGCCATTATTGTGCTTCCAACAGAAAGTTTCAGTTACTTCCCTTGGTCACCTTGACTCTAGAGTTACTTGCATTGAGATCGTTCCCATTAAAACTACGGTTATTGATCTCGTTCTCATAAAACTAAAAAGCTACTGTTACTTGCTTTGGTAATGTTCAAATAAAAGCTACAGTTACCAACAGAGCTACAATTGTCCTGTTCTATATATACAACATTTATATAGCGCCCTATATAATTTGTAAGATTACTCTAAAGCGCTTTACAACATATGGATAATAGTAATGGTTACAATTGTGAAAACAAAAAACAAAGGCTTACAATCACTTTTATACATTTAAGCAAGCAATGTGCACATGATTGAACAAATAAAAGGGTGGTATTTACATAACGTCTTTGCTAAGATTCTAAAATGCAGACGTGAAGAGGTGAGTTTTGATGTCCCTCTTGAACTTGGCCAAGGTATTGGACTTTCTAATTGCAGATGGTAAGCTATTCCACAACGTAGCCGAAACCCTTCCAAAGCATCTGTTTCCGTAGGTCACAGTGCGAGATTTTGGGACACACAACAAAGATTCTACGAGTAACTAGCCGTGCTGCAGTGTTCTGGACCCTCTGCAGACGACTAGTTAGTTTGTCAGATACACCACAGAGCAGGGCGTTACCATAATCCAACCGAGAGGTAACAAGTGAATGCGCCAAAATCTTGCATGCATCTGCAGTTAAAAACTGCCGAATACAGCCGATGTTCCTGATCTGGTAGTAACAGGATTTGGCAATAGCGTTCACTTGTTTCTCCATGTTCAGTGAACTATCAACGTATACCCCTAGGTTTTTAACAGCTGGAACAGTCTCAATAGTTCTGGCACCGACCTTGAGCTGGAGGGCCATTGTTTGCTGACACTTCGGGGAAAAGACGATTAGTTCCGTCTTTTCCTGATTAAGCTTAAGCATGTTGGCGTTCATCCAGAAACTGATATCTGTCAGACAAGCTTCCAGACTTTCTGAGACGGTATTCCAACTGTCCTGTGGTTTGATGACCATGTAAATTTGTGTGTCATTGGCATAGCAATGATAGCGAAGGCTATGG